TCCATCTCCCGTTCGAGAAGAAAAGGAGGGGGGGGAGGGAGGAGACAATGGCGACGATAAAAATTTCTATTCCACGGCGAGGAGATCTGGTGGACGCAGGTACTCCGGGGGAGGCGATAGAACGCCGAGACAACTATCGATCGTTTCGTAGCGAACGCGAACCGAGTTGCCGAGGTGTGTTTTGAGGTCGTCGTCCTTTCCAGGTACACACGCGAGTCGATAACGCGCCAACGCTCTCCTCTCCAGCAGGCTGCCGTTGCACTCTCTACTGACCAATTATTCCACGCCGTGAAAGGAGCACCCTCCTCCTTCCCTCCCCCTTCCTCCGTTAAAAGGGCAAATTTCCAAATCGGATCGTCACCGACCGATCTCTGACACGGAGCGAACCATGCTTTTATCCAGATGCTCGCACGATCTTACCTCCGATCCTTTATCCGAGCCTTTAGACGTGTTAAACAAGATTGATAACTTTTGACAACACTGGATTCTTTAATTAATAAGTACGTATATTATGTGAATTAAATTTCAGAAAATGTCGAGGACCGATATATTTTTCAATGTGTTATTAGCAATTGAACGTATTTCAACGAATAATTATTTTCCACGTTATAGAAATAATAAAACTACGGAGGAAAGATCAACAGAGTATGTATAGGCAATTTTAAAAATAACTACGGCTCGACAAATTCAACCAAATTTCCAAGATTTGGTTAGTGAAAAACGTTGCCAAGTTTCTTCAAAAAAAAAAAAAATAAATAAAAGAAGAAAATTATTTTATTTAAATAACATTAAATTGAAGAAAAGAAACATATATATGTATTTTTTAATATGTTTATATTCTGCGTATTATTATTTTGTACGTATTGATTTGTTTGTTTATAATATAAGCTATGCTTCATCTTTATTTCCATTTATTTCTTTTTTTTCGCGGCCGCAATTTAATATATAATATGGCCCCTCTACGGTTAACGAGTTTGACATGCTTGCTTTAAGCGTATATTTATCTCGCCATAACTTTGAGTTATAACCTTTTCATTACGAAGTTACTCGAATCGACGTGAATTTCATACATCCTCTCTTAAGAGAGGATGCTTATAAATTAACCGCTTCTTCTTCCCCGCATTGTCCTCGTTCCTTTATCCTTCATTTGGGCACACACGCGTGGCCGACGAAAAAACG